CTCGACAGAAAAAGGCGCCACCGATGCCGCCCATTCGTCTTCCTGGGGAAACAGCATCCTTTTGTATGGCTTCAACTTGGGTCCTTTACCATCTAGATGGTAGAATATAGGCTTTTTGGAGAGAGAGTATAAATATCTCATCCTCTTGGGTGTAAGGCGGATGGTTTTGCTCTTGGCCGTATCGCTGTTGCTGATCGGAACGAGTGTCGCGCGTTTAGGTAGACATTTAATCTTCCTGTCAGCTACCACTTCTCTATGTGGCAAAATCCACGAGCTCGCGTCGAGCGAAAATCTCGTCCTTCTTCAACATCCCAGCAACGATCCGCCGCCGTTGATCTTCCTCTTCCTTACGCACGCTCTCGAGCTCCTCGCGGTGTCTCCGAAAACGATCCAACATGAGCAGGTCCTTACCAGAGGCCGGGTTTCTGTGTCGTGTGGATAGGCCTCGTCGCAGATGATCTCTGGGATATGAGGCGGCAGGGGGTGGTCGACCTCGGGATAGGGTTGCATTGTTCCGAAAAAGGGCCTTGACTTGGGTGGCAATACTTCGTTTAACCTGACCAAATAATCTTCCGTTCATTATATCTTATTTCCGTGATGTTTCAGGCAAGGAAAATGACGGTTTTTGGCTGCAGTATTCGGCGACCGACACTGTCTTGGAGATTAGTCAGTCTGGCACGCAACAGATGCTGCGAAATCCAAGAGATAACTGATTCATGACGCGGACCAACTGATTACGACTGTTTTCACGAACGAACAACAGACATCGATTCTAGAACATATCTATGTCACTACTACCTTCGCTGACCCTCGGCGAATTAGCGACCGACATCCAGGGATCATCGAGAAGCTCATCGATGGACGCCCGTTCCTCCGGAAGCCACCTGAGCATCCGCTTCAGAAATCCAATGAACATCTGCTTGTATTGAGAATCCGGAATAGTAGAAAACACGGCCTCAAATGTCCCTTCGTTCCCGGGCGGATAGTAATTTGCATACAGGAATTCTCCTGAAACAGGCTGTTAGTAAAATGGGGTTTTCAACATTCAATAACCCACCATTGCTATCAAAGTATATCTCTCTGCACATGGGATTTATCCTGTTTATGAGTTCCGCAGGCGGGGGTCCAAGAAGACGTATAATTTGTGCAATTTGTACAATGATGTTGAACTTTCCTTTAGAATCCAAACCCATAATGGGCGATTCCACGGCCAGACAATCGAAGACCTGCAAGTCGGATGATCGTGAGCAGAAGCTAAACGGTGATGGGAAATTCGTCGTACCAGTGCGCCAAGGTTCCAAATATCAGCACTATATGACGACGCGATTCCGAAGCTAACTTCTGGCGCACGATACGGATCCCGCTGGATAAATAAATCGCACAGGCCTTGGTCACCCCGAACCGCTTTGCCGAAGTCAGAGATCACAGGAGCGGGCATGCTTCTATGCAACACAGGTCCAAAGTCACTGTCTGACACATAGATTTCACGATCAGGGAGAATCTTCTTCACGGCAGAGTTCTCCGAAGCGTATTCCTCGTACTCCAGCAAAAACACCTTGGGATTCTCTAGTATGAAAAGAATATTGGACAAGTTGAGATCTGAGGATGGCGTAAAGAAAGGTGCGTCGTTGTTAGAAAAGGAACGCACTAGTGTGAATGATATGACAATGGTGGTGAAGATATCGTAGGCCTTGGAGAAATAGCCTGTAAAAAGCCGGGAAGACAGGGAGTGTAAAGAACTCCATGCCGGAGGTATCTTCACGGAAACGACGCTGAAATAAATCCACAGATTCTCGGTGGGGCCAGTATGCCAAGCAGACATGTTTTCCATGGGATCCTGCCAGCTCGAAGCTATCATACAGATTGTGGACATAGGCGCGATCAGGGCTAGATAGATTGGCGTCAGTTATATCCCACGCCATCCTGACGTCCTCATTTCTAGACGCGTCAACAGTCAGAACTTTGATGGCCACAAACGGGTACGTGTACGCATCCGGTCTGGAAGGAAACCCTCGATTAGCATTCATGTCGACAGACTAACTCTTCAACTCACTCGCCAATGTACTTGGCGAGCCATACGGTTCCGCTGCTCCCATAACCAAGTTTTCCAATAACGTGGTAGACCGTGTTCAAGACCTCGCCTAACGCGACTGGATAATAAATGCGTGGATCATAGTCTGGAAGGCTTTCTTCCTCAACGAGGATGTCGGGGCCTATGATGATTGGGTCTGGTACCGCCATGGAGCAGGCAAAGTGAGAGCAGTATTTCGATCAGGGAGGATGAGAGAAGATGGGAAAAAACGAGGTACGTTCTGTCGTCCTTTCGGTGTCCTTTTAACTGGCTCGCTGCGCCACATTCGGAGGAATGAGTAACAGTAGAACTCGGCTCTTTCCGGATGAGGTTCGGTCGACATATCGAGACAGTTGTTGAAATCTCACGCTCAACGCGATCGTTGCCAATGGCACTGCTCGCCACGACTTTGTGTGAACTTATGAAAGGTATCGTCGTCGGAATGTGTATGAATTCTTATCCACAGAGGTACATCTTCACGAGGCTATGTCCTGTCTTACTGCTTCCACTCACGGCTGGCCTTTTGTGTCCTTTGCGATTGGTTGAGTGTGGATGCAAAATGTACATCTTGGGGTCCCACCAGGGGAACTCGTAAAGAAGATAAATCCCGAGTACAGAGCGATGTTCTTTAATAGCAAAGGCGGGCCACAGAAGATTAAAAGCCCCCCATTTTTACTATCAGCTTGTTCCAGGACAATCCCTGCGTACAAATTACGATTGGGAGCGTTGGCGCGGTCCGGTTCCTCCGTGATCACGTGTTGCATTGCCGTAGATTCCCGCTTCGTAGCCACAGCCAAGACCATCAGTAGCCATTCCCGATTCCCTCTCTTGGACCTAGCAATATGGTTCCACGAGAATGAAGGGACATTTGAAGCCATGTTTTATATGATCCCGGATTCTTCATACAAACAGATGTTCATTGAATTTCTGAAGTGGATGCTCAGATGGCTTCCGGAGGAACGGGCGTCCATCGATGAGCTTCGCGGTGATCCATAGATGTCGGTCGCTAATTTTCCGAGGGGTCAGCGAAGGTAATGATGACAAAGATATGTTCTAGAATCGATGTCTGTCGTCCGTCGGTGAAAACACTTGTAATCAGTCAGTCCGCGTCGTGGATAAGTTATACCTTGCATCCCCCAGCATCGGTTGTGTGCCAGACCGACTAACCTCCAGGACAGTCTCCGTCGTCATATACTGCAGTCAAAAAACCGTAACAACCATTGTATTGTGTTTCCCAGAAGTTTTATCTAAGTACAAGCCCCTTCGAGTTTCAACCATCCTCACCCCGATGAAGTTACCGGGAGCGTGGTGCTCTGGGTGTGTCAGTGTTCATCTTTTCATGCCCACATCGCAGGTAGCCCTTTCATACATCTATTGCATTTCAGCCATGAATTACCCATGAATGTGATTTCAACTTCCGGCCAGAGGTTTAAAACCACGCGTGATCCAGAAAATGCATTACACGGTCATTCCGCCAAATATAGCTCAGCAAGCTAAAGCTGCAGAAAGGACACTAGAACACATCGCGTTTCCTCTTTCTCTCACCCCCTCTACTCAAAGTATTGCTCTTAATTTGCCTGCTCCATGGCGGAAACAGATGCTACTATCATAGACCCCAACATCCTCGTTGAGGAAGAACGCCTTCCATAATATGATGTACGTTGTTATTATCCAGTCAGACTAGGCGAAGTCTTCAATGGTATCTACAAGGTCATTGGAAAGCTTGGGTATGGAGTGAGCGGAACTTGAACTGTCTGGCTTGCCAACAATATTGAAACATTCCGTGCCACAGGAGGGACAAAATACCAATATATTAGGCATCATTCAAGAAATTTATTGCACTCTGCAATTGGTCAATCTGCTGAGTCATATCCATCCCTCGTCTTACCCCCTTCAGCACCTCTGTCGACGAAACTGTCAGCGTACATCTTGATTCCCTCTCAGAGATCACCAAGCGGTAGGCCCTGGAGCTGATTTCAAACCTTTCGTCTTCCACTTCTCTGGTCCCTGGTTTTCGAGGGGACATGTGCAGGCTCGGACAGTCAGTGGGCCAGCGCGTCGAGTATTTAACCGGTCGCACATGTGATCTTTCGGCGTAGAATGCGCTGCCTTGAATAATTAGACAGAGCAATAAGACATTCAGCTACAAAAGCTAGCTGAAGAGTGTAAACCGGGTTCTTGAAGACACAGAACCTGCCCGAGGAATCTCCTTCCCGATAATGTCAAAACTTGGCCTGAGTGCAAGGTGACAGAGGCCGGTTTGTAGAAAGAAATGATCAGCTTAGGAACAGTGAAAAAAAGAAACTGTGGCTAGAATCACAGCTGAGCCTGAGATCAAGGAGCCGCTAAAGCTCGCCCATTGATTCCCTTCCCCCCAGCCCTGTCGGGAAATTCCGTCTGAGATATATTTCTCTTCACCATAGAAACACCTTATGCACTACACCGAGGTCCATACAGGGTTTCTCCTAAGACTTTCCCAAATTTTTTGTCATTCTCCACCAGTAGTATACAAGAATGGGAGAGCTCATCATATGATCTTTTCTGCCTAGAATCCACTGCTAAGCTTTGGGAAATGATGATACAGCTGCCTGCGCAATATAGCATGATGATTTCTCCTCTTTCATGCATCCCGTAGTGTACTGGCCATGCAAAACCCACTGGTTTCGAATCCCAGGCGAAGAGATATCCGCCCAAATGGTGTAGGTTTTATTCAAAATTACGAATCCTTTTTGATGCTCACCTCTGCTGATAGGTTCCTGGTTAGCTGGGTCGACTTGCCCAGTGCACACTTCCTTCTTGCTGTTCGTAGCCACAACAACTGAGATCTTGGAAGTCTATGCGATGTCAAAGCGGGACCAGGGCATGTTCAAATTGGGAGTGCGGGTTTAGACGCGTCGTCCTCATGGTTGAAGGGAAACTCCGATGTGTAATGGTCACATATACCTCACTGAAAAAGCCTTTGAACACGTCTCTCAGACAAGCACCCTGTGTGGTGTATTGGTTAGTATACATGCATGTCTCCGCTAGGTTCGACTCCAGCATCAGGGTTTAGTATGGTGTCCATCTTTCCTTTTACAAATCCATATCCTTCTCATGTTCACAGTTACAGTTCACTCTGCTCACGTATAAATTGAATTGGAAATTAGCGGACATAACCGCGTCACCGCTCATGACTTCTGTTATACTCCCAGCCCTAAGTGCTGCTTCAAAGTCACGGACGGCTTTGACTGAGTGGAATCGAGTACTACTCACCCATCCCCACTGGTTCGACTCCTCGGGAGACATTGCTTGTTTGGATATCTTCTTTTTTCTGTCAGTTTGCTTGCGGACTCGAAGCCGATGTGCCATTGAAAAGAGCGTGTTCCTGTCATGGCAGTCGCTGCATTTTATTACTGTGTATGTCTGCGAGCTCAATGCGTCAGGATTCCTCAGCTCGTCTGTTGCCAGCAGGCACATGGAAATAGCTAGCGCATGCAGGTTGTACTTCTTAAATCAAAAAAACGAAGCTATAACCATATTGTTAGCGTTGCGGGAATATTCAAGTTGCAAACGTACATCTCCATGTTCCTTCTGCTAGGCTCTGTCCTCTGGTAAACCACAACAGCCGTATTAAAATAATCCTTCTTTACATCACTGAACACAATCATTCTTCAATTGCACTATGTATCTGATCCCTCAGCAGAAGTTCACCTTTTCAGTAGTACATCTGTCATTGCAATGTATTATGCTGGGTTCAACTCCCGGTCAGAGAGTAGAGAAAGGGGTGGTATGCCTAGACTATCTTTTTAATTTCCTTTCGGTAGACACCCTCAAGCCTGAATCAATCTTCCCCACCCCATCTGGTACCCACAGTTTTTCGTGAAGACCGCGGATAAACTTGTTCATCCGACATCTAATGTGCTACGGTCTTACCTCCCTTCAGCACCTCCGTCCACGAAACGGTTAGCATACATGTTGACTCCCTCCGAGATTATCAAGCGGTAGGCACGGGAGTTGATTTCAAAACTTTCATCTTCCACTTCTCTGGTCCCTGATTTTCGAGGGGACATGTGCAGGCTCACAACTCCCGTCTTGTCGTCCAGAATATTACAAACAATGTCTCCCGATTATCATTAAATGAAGAGAAATATCTTTCCTTGAACGCATTGATTGCCACCACTGCCATGCCGATTATCATAACGATGGTATACTTCGTCCACACAATTTGGAACATGTAATCTCAGTCGGGACAGTCGACCAGAATTCGGTGCAAGATATACTTCCAAACCCGTAATGGAAGATGTCAAGGCCAGACGCTCAAAGATCTGCAAGCTGGGTCATCGTGAACATGAGGTAAAGATGATGGAGAATTCGTACCAGCAAGCCAAGATTCTCGCTGGGGGGGGGGCTAAGCAACTCTGAACTCGCGCTGGTCCTAGTAACTTTGTTGGAAGCCCGCTCTTCTCTCTGGGCTCCTACGCCCTGAGGAGATACACGCTAATCGAAGATACCTAGATTTTATAAACGCTACAACCAATGTAGTATCAGGGTAAGTCGTTCTGGCTATTGGGCCATTATCGCGAACTCCAGCATGTATCGCAAATAAATTTGTCGAGCAGCTCGCTGTTAATGTAATTTCAAATGGCCTGAAGGGATATTTTTAGGGCTAAAGCACGACACGTACAGGTGACCGATACGTCCATCTTGGCAATTTCTATCTAGGTCGCTATCTTGATTGTCACCACCTCACATGAGTTCTCGTGGACAGGAAAATCGAGTAAGAGCAAAGAGCGGTTCGTGACTGATATCTCTGTGTGGCTCGTATACTCATGGCCGAGTGTCGAATTTACAGGCTTTATTGCCCCCGGAAACGGTTATTATATCTCTGTGTCTGGAAACTGGTGGTACGAAAATATTTTTAACTATGATCGTAATTGTCGCTGATAGCTCCTTTCAGCTGGCTGACACCTGAGCTTGTCTTTGTTCGCGACGTATTGACTCACGGCTCTCGTTCCTCTTCAAACGTATCGGGACAGGTACGTCTGAATTGATCGTGCCGCTCAACTGATCCTGATATAATATCTGTAGATCTATCTGCAATGAAGAATCAAAGTTCTCAGCTTACAAGGATGAATCTGCGCAATGGATTCCACGATCTTGAACGAGCCTCTGGATCGATTCAGAAGAATGATCTCAGACTATGTAGAGTATGATATACGCAATATATCTGCAGCTTTAGCTTGCTGAGCTATATTTGGCGGAATGACCGTGTAATGCATTTTCTGGATCACGCGTGGTTTTAAACCTCTGGCCGGAAGTTG